GTTGATAATTTTTCTTGTCATGATCATAATATTTATTTTTCACATCAGACAAAGTCTTCTGGAGACTTGGAAGAAAGATTCTTTTTTCATGTTTCTCTTTAACCTGAATATTTTATTGCTGGGTTACTTCCCCAACCAGGGATCAAACCTGCACCCCTGCAGCAAAGGCCTGGAGTCTTAAACACTGGACCACCAGGGAAGTCCCAGAAATGTATTTCTTAAAATAAAGAATTAAATAAAACTGAATGAACAAAACTTCTCAAACTCTACTGGATACCCTAAATTAGCGTATTAGATCAGGCTGGGCTTACAACAAATGAGCCGGAAGATTTAGACTCATGCAGTGAAGAGGCCTAACTTCCCTCTAACTTGAAACTCAAACCGAAGCAAATCCCATGCCCAGGAGATTTTTACTTTTATCTGTGTTCAATCTCTAGCCTTTAAATTTCTTATCTGAAAGCTACTTACTTTCTATTGTTTAAAACCTTTGGCGTTGTCCCAATTACTTTTGGCCTTCTTGATTACTAATCTATCTCTTTCACTGGCAAAATCAAAGCTCTTTACCATCAGATTATTTTGAGTTTTTCCTCCAATAATGGTGTCAGGTTCCTGGTAGGGCTTCCTCTAAGGAAGCTCAGCTTGGTGGGAGGGCCGGCCCTGCCCGTGGGGTCTGGAACAAGATAAATTGCCCTCTCCTTACCTCAAAAGTTCCCTGAGGCCAGCCACTGCCTCTGACTTGTTGCAATGTGTGCCGGACGCCCAGCCAATGCCCCGCACACAATGAGTGCTTAACAAATAAATAGACGATGGTCTTGTTTTCTAATACACCACCCCATGCTACAACATCCACAGAGGCTGAAACAGTATTCTAGGTGAAATACAACACGAGAGTGTGTTCAGATCTGTCTGAGAAAAAGTGATAAAAAAATCAGTGACATCTTGTAATCATATGCTCCGCGGTTTCTAGAGGGCTTCACATTTCCTCTGCGATTTATGCCAGGAACCCCATTTTAAGGACAATGGAAGCCCCACAGGTTTGTGTGAGGATTGAAGAGATTGTGCGCATAAGGCCCCTACCACAATGCCTGACTTGTAGTGAGAGCTTCTAAAACAGCTCACGATCTACCCTGTTTCTCTAGTGACCTGTCGGACTCTGGTCAGAAATCAGCTTTCATTTTTCCTGGCCTATTACACCCTACCTCAGTGTTCCTCCCATTCTCACGTGGATGGGAACGTCTTTAAGGAGGAGGGCAGGGCGTTCTAAGCAGACCAGTGACACTCCTCTGCCCGCATCTTACAGCGGGGAGGGGGAGGGCGTTGCATCTCCCCAACAGTTAAAGTGATCAACGTTAAATAGCTGGAAGTAGAGCCCAGGAACCATGTAAAGTTATGGGCAAAATACCCTATTGCGATCGCTACAAGGTCCTTGCTCTGATTACCCGCTGACAGCTCTTTTACCAAAAAAAAAATTACAAAGTGAGGCTCCAGGGACCCAAAAACTTACGCGGGAGCCCATGCACAGCTGGATACGGGTGCTCAGAGGAACAGTGAAGACTGTTCAGAATTTTTCTCTTCCCGATAGTAAATGCATCCCTGAGTCACCATCTGAGGCTGTGCCAACAATAAATAACACTTGTGTCCCCTGCAGTTGAGGGGGCCTGAATCAATGTATCATTTGAGATGCAGTCCAGGTTTTTGTCTGGTCTGACCTTTCCCTGGATATTTGAGAAAGACTGAAATAATTTAAGCAGCATCTCATTTTCTAAGGGCCATGCTAATTTCACTGTTTCTTCTCTGCTCTTTTTCTTAGTGTTGCCTTCCTGAGGGTGTACCTGGTCCACCTATAGACTTCCTGGCAGATGACAAGGACTCCATCCACATTAAATGGGTCACCCAGCTCCCCGACTCACTCACTGGGTGGCCTGGGGCAAGGCCCTTGAACTCACTGGGGTTTAGCTTCCTCGACTGTAAAGTGGAAAAATAAACCTATTTCACAGACCTTTGTGCAGGATTAAATGAGGTGACAAATATGAATTGTCCCTACACAGAATAGACAAAGGTAGGTTCCCTCGTGGCTGTAAGGATAACAAGGTAGCAGAATGTTCATTGGACTTACCTATTTGGCCACTTTTATCACTCCCTTTAACCTGGTCTCATGCACACTGTATTTGTCCTTCTACTTTTCTTTTTTTTTTTTTTTGCGGTATGCGGGCCTCTCACTGTTGCGGCTCTCCCGTTGCGGAGCACAGGCTCCGGACGCACAGGCTCAGTGGCCATGGCTCACGGGCCCAGCCACTCCGCGGCATGTGGGATCTTCCCGGACCGGGGCACGAACCCGCGTCCCCTGCATCGGCAGGCGGACTCTCAACCACTGCGCTACCAGGGAAGCCCTGTCCTTCTACTTTTCAAATAGGCTATAATGACCTATTGATTTCGGGGAGATGTTACATGTGTATAGAACTGCCTCACTGTCATCTTTGCCATTTTGTGTCCTTCTGGTCCCCCAGCTTTCCTTCCCTCCCTCTCTAATCAAATGCTCAGGGCCCTGTCCTGCCACACACTTGCTGGTCTCCACACCGGGAAAGCTCTCCTCACTAAACCCCTCCACGCTGGGGCTGCTTCCCTTTCATTCACTCAACCCGTATTTATTGCTCGAAGGACTATTCCAGGTGCTGGGAATACAGCAGTGAACAAAACAGAGTCCCTGCTCTCCTGGAGCTGGCATTCCATGGATAGGATTGGGGAAGAAAGAACAGGTAATTAGTCAACAAACCTATCATATGTTACGTGCTGGCAGAGTTATAAGAAAGAGCAGAGCAAGGTAGGGGATACTGTGATGGGTTTAGTTGGGAAGGGCTCTCTGATGAGGGGCCATTTGAACAGACTCCTGAAAGACATGTGGTAGGAGCCTTGCAGAAAATCTGGGAGAAATTATTCCAGGGAGAAGAAATGGCAAGTGCAAAGGCCCTGAGGCAGAAGAGAGCTAAATATGCCTTCCCAAGAGAGCATTCCCTGACATTCCAACTTGAATTACATTCTCTCTCAGGGCACACTGTTCTTTTCTTCACAGCATTCATCTCCACTGATGTTTTATATATATTTTAATATATACTTGTTTAATAAGTCTCCCTCTCCTGATTATAAGCTCAGTGAGGGCAGGCCTCATATCTGTTGCTGTTTTCCCTTATTTGTATATCCAGAATTCAGCCTCCTGTTTGGTATTTAGTTATCAACTGCATGGATAAATTTAAGATGGTCATTAATGACATTGTGCTTTAAATCTCTCACAACATTCCTTTTGCCTCATCTGAGAATTTTCTTTTAGGAATTGGTACATGGGGTGGGAGGTGGGGGGAGTCTCCTTTGACCTGGCATGCTCCTTTCTTTCAGGTAATGAGCACAAATTGAGTATAATATATCCATTTCTGTTTTGTGTGCAAGGAATTTTATGCTCAGTAAGGACAATTCAGTTAAGATTTGGGGTTGGCATATTTACCTGTGTTTTTTCTTGATGATGAGATTGCATGTCTATTCTTCTTTTGTTTAGTTGGATTTCTCTTTTATGTAATTTAATTAAGATAAGAATCAAAAGGAGTGACATTTAGGTAAGTAGGAAGGAAGAACAGAAGGGAGGGGAGAGGGAGAGAGGAAAGACAATGGATTCCCCTTCAGTGATACCACTTGTCACTGCTTTGCAAATTGAGACTGGGAATGTAGCTAGCTCATGCTTTAAAAGTAATGATAGCTGCCTGGTACTAGTGCTTAGCATGTATCAGGACCAATGCTACGTATTTTTGTGTATGATCTCATTAAATTCACAACAGGCTCTAGGGTAGATATCAATAGTCCCATCTTACAGATAAGTAAATAAAGGCTCAAAGAGGTTAGATAACTTGCTTTAAAACAGAAGAAAGAAGAAATGAGTGCCTTCCAGTGGCTTGGACAGGGCTGTCAGAATTAAATCCAAACTGTTTTGATTCTCCCTGCCCCCAAGTTCCATCCAGCCTCACCCTACTAAGAGGCGGTGAGGCCCTCCAATGGTGATCGTTAACTCACCCCAGGTGCTGAGTGGGGTACTTTACAAACATCCATTATCCCCTTACAACAACAACCCCTGAATGCAGGTGCCTGCAATGGTCTTTAAGTTATTTTTAAAGGCTTTTTTTTTTTTTTTAACTAGCAAAAGAATGCATGACACCAATTGTAAACTGGCACGTTGGTGGTGGGAAGCCACTCAGACCTGTGCTAAGAAAGGTGATAATGAATTCACTGTTGGCAATTCTGAGGGAACTGTACGAAAACACCTAGATGTTCTAACTGGTCCAGAAGTAGAACTGATTCCTCCTTGCTTTCACCGTGCGGCCGGGGGTTTCTCGGTGGGACTCGCGACGCTGGGGCTGAGGAACCTCCGGGCAATCCCTAGGATTCTGAATTCCGGGACTGTGGGCCCAGGGGAGAGGGACGGCTCACTCAGACATCACACGCGGTCACAAAGCACAGACGGGAACACGCGGTCAGCAGACACCCAGAAGAGTGCACATACAAATACATACCAACCCACAGCGAACCACAAAGACAAGTGCGCACGACCACACAGACCTCGCCCACTCATGCATTCACACCACTCATAGGCGTGCAACACGCGGGCTCACGCGAGCTCGCGCACAGACTCACAGCCGGAGCACACACCCTCTTGCGCGCGCACCTACCCTCGCGCACATGCACACACTTTCTTGCGCGCGCACATATTCTGCACACATCCCCCCGCGCGCGCTCACACCGCGTGCACACGCCCTCTTGCGTACGCACATACCCTGGCTCACGTGCACACCCCCGCGCGCACACGCGCTCCGTCCACTCACCCTCTTGCGCGCGCACACGCTTGCACGGCCGAGCGGCGAGGGGCGGGGCGGGAGCAGCCCCGGGGGCCTGGCTGGGCGCGGCCAGGAGAGGGCGCGGCGCGGGGTGGCTCCTGAGTTGTTTGCCGGATCCCGGGCCGTGAGACGCTCAGAGGGAGCCCAGCCAGCTCGGGCTGGTCCGGGCTGCGCTGGGCGGCCCGGAGGGAACGCGTCCCGGGTCACGCCGGCGCCCGCGAGCGGAGCGCGGCGGGGAACGCGCCATGGACCCCAAGGCGGGTAGCGGCGAGGAGGATGACTGCGTGGACTCGGGCGCAGAGACCGGAGGGTGAGCGGCGCGGGCCGGGCAGTGGGCGGGGGCCACTCCGAGTTGCGCGGCGGCTCCTCCCGGCCCGGGACCTTCCTGGACCCCGCGCCGGAGTCGCTTCGGCGGGACGCGGCTGCGGGGACCGTTTCTCCTGCCGGGTCCCCTGGGGAAACCGGAGGGGCTGTGGCGAGCCCGCTCTCTGCTGGGCCGGCCCTGAGGGCAGAGCGGCGGGGTCCGTGGCTGCCCCGGTCAGGGCGGGCCCCACCCTGGAGGGCAGAAAAGTGGAAGGACTCAAGGTTCAGAGTAACCCCACGCAGCCCACACCACCCCAGACCCTCTTGCCCTCCGTCATCACTGAGCTGATGCGGAGTGCCGGGCAAATGCAGTGTCCCCCGGCATCACCGTTAGAGAGACAAGGGATGCTCTTGCACTTGTTTCCACCTTCCGCGAGGACTTTCTTATTGTTGCTCCGGAACCCCCTGGAGTCCAGGATGGGGGTCTGGGGGTGGGGAGAAAAGGTAAAGCGGGTAGGACACGTGAGACCTAAGAGTCTTTCAGAAGTCTTCTAAGAGGATGGCGTTTTTCATTTTACGGCTTTATTGTGCTTGCCAAGACGCCCTCCCCAGCTCCCCCACTGCCCCGCCGAGCTTCCTCACTTCTGAGCGCACCTGTCCCAGCTGGAGCCGCTTGCCTTGGGCACAGGTGGGATGAAGATGGTGCTATGATCTAGCCTTGCTTATTTTTAAAAATGTCCTCTTCTCTTCGGCGGACTCAAACAATTAGTCCAAACCTTTGGAGACTAATTAACCCTCTCCGAGCAACACTGTTTTCCTGAGTGGGACAAAAGACTGAATGTCTTTTAGGAGACGAACGTCATTGTAAAGCCTTCCGCCCAGCCCCTGTCTCTAGAGGACTTCCCGGTGCAGAGTCAGCGCTACATCCAGGATGCGGGTACCGACCCAGAAGGAAAGGGTGTCTTTGCCTATCTGCAGTAACCCAGGGGGAGGGCTGGAGCTGCCCAGAACACAGAAATCCTCATTCCAAGAAGGCTGGGGAGATTTAGACATAGATCTAAGGATTTGGCAACCCTGAGAGGACAGGAAGAGAGTCCAGGCCCAGAATAGACCTAGGGTCACACCTGACCCGGAGAAAGGCTCCCTAGGCAGCCCCCCCCACCCCGCCTGCCCAACCCCACCCTTCCTTACAGCCTCTATCCACTGGAGCCGAAATCCAGGAGTTTACTGCCCCCAAACATTTACCCTGCAATGGGCTTTCCCTGTTATCCGCACTTGTGATCATTGATGGTTCGCTACAGAACCCTGTTAACACTGCAGTGTTGTAACCTGACTCCAAATACTGAACTCCTGTGCTTTCTCCCACGCTTTGTATGTGGGGCATTTATCAACTTTAACTGAAGATCCTTGGCTTCCCCCACCTACCCCCACCCCGCCCCGCCCCAGTTAGCTGAACATGAGTAGAAGAAACAAAACAAAAGTAATCAGGTCATTTTCAGCTGGGTTAAATAAAGCACCGGCGGGTCCATTGGTTTTCAATGTGCAGAGCTCACCTGAAACAGATCTTTTATGCCAGGGCTCTCTCGGAGAAATGGAGAGAAAGCCCTGACCCAGGAGTGTCATCACCCCAGGATCCCAACGAACAGCATGACAGCTGTCGGGGCTCCTGGGAGGGGCGTGCTGAGCCTGCTGACGCCTCGCTGTCTCTGTCTTAAGTGTGTAAGTTAACAGGACAGAATTGTTTGAAGAATTCTTATTGCCTCCGTAGCATTCTTAAGCTAAAGGTCAAGTGGCGTGCATTTAAATGAGATAGTTGCAGTGAATGCTTCTCAGTCTTGTATTTGCTGCATATTCATATATCCCTTAAAGTTGAGATTACGTATTAAAAAACCGTTCAGTTTCCCTGCTTTTCCAGAGCTTGCCACCTCTTACCCTCTCCAGCTTCCATACAGCTACCTGTCGAGATTGTGTAGAAAGCATGAAGAAAGCTTGCTCAGTATGTGTGTGTTATCATTATTTTTAAAAACGCAAATCGGATCATGTCTCTCTGCCTTGCAAACTTTTAGTGGTTCTGTCATCTGTAAAGCGCGAAGGGTTTAGCATGGCCTACAAGCCCCAGTGTTCGTGGGGTCCCCACCCCTCTCTCTCTCTGGCCTTGTCACTTGGCAGGCTCGTCCCTGCACCCTGCATATAACCACATCAGCTGGGTTTTTTCCAATTCCTCACCTGTGTCAAGCCGCCCTCTTTGCCCCTAGGCCCTTCTCCACCTGGCACGCCTGTCCGCCAGGTGAAACCCTACTCTTCTTTCAAGAGTCAGCTCAAGTGACACATCCACTCAGACAGGGAGCCTTAATTTGGGGTGCATGAATTGCTTTAAGTTGCATGCAGAATGATGGGCTTTGTGACGTTTTCTAAGATACTGTTTTTCATCAGATTCTCAGAGTAGCCTGTGATCCCCTCCAAACCACGTTTGGGCAGGGTGTAAGTTTCATGTTCATCATGCTGGTTTGAAGTATTGGGAGACATCCAAGTAAAGATGATGAGTCAGCAGTCGAGTAATCTACCTAGAGAGGAGGTCAGACAGGAGGACTGCAGTTGGGAACCGGCAGCCTAAAAATGGCAGTTGAAGCCCTAGGAGTGGATTCGATCAACTAAAGTTCATAGCAGACACGAGCCTGGCGTTTACTATGTGCCAGGTACCATTCTAAGACTTAACATGTTTCATTAATTCATTTAATCCTTCAACAAATCTGGGAAGCAGGTACTATTTAAGACCAGCCTTGAAAAACTACAGCATTTAAATGTCAGGTAAAGGAGGGTGAGCTGATAAAGGAGGCTGAGAAAAATTAGGCATGAAATGAAAAAAGGAAGAAGGTGATATCCTAGAAGCCAAGGGAAGAAAGGAAAGAGATCAGCTGTGCTGTTGAGAAACAAATCAGGATGAGGAAGTCATCTCCCTTCTTTTTAAAGGGAGATGATGAAAAGGCAGAGGAGTAGTGGAGGAGGAGGTGGCTGGAGCCCTTTGTCTGGGAAAGGGAGGGGTGAGAAGTGACAGTAGCTGGAGGGGAGAGTGGGATGAGGGAAGGATTTCTTAAACGTAGGCATGAATTGGGCAATAAATGCTCATAGAAGGGATTCTGTAAATGGGGAATGATAACTACGCAGGAGAAAAACGGATATCTGTAATGTCAGCTTTCTGAAAATGTGCAGGTAGGTGGACTTCAGGTCACGTGGACAGATTGGCTTTGGAAAGAGGAGGGACATCCCTGTTGCACCCAGTGGGAGAGAAGGGAAGATGGGTTTCCGTTCAGTGCAAATGCAGCCCCCCGTCCCCCAGGAGAATGGAGACTTGACACTGTTGTTCCGGGCGATGGTGAGTGAGACCCCAGTCAAGATTAGTGATTACATATGAAGGTACTAGTCTACCTTGCCATTGATTTTCCTGCAGCAGTGTTCACCCACCTGGGGGCAGGCGGAGAGAGACAGTGGGTCGTTGAGATCATCAGGGTTTGGGGGAGAGGGACTGTTGCTAGGCTGGGGTGAACAGAACATAGGAGTAAGGGAGATGTGCGGCTGTTGCTTGAGCTGATGACTGGTCCTTTCAGCAGCATATCGGAAGTGCTTCCAAGAACCTTCGTGGATTCCGCTGCCAGTAGACAGACTGTGCTGATCCCTTTGAAAGTTACAGTCCACAGAGCCAGCCTGCTGGGGTTCAAATTCTGGCTCCTCCACCTAGGAATTGTGGAACCTTGAGCCAGTTACTTACCCTCTCCCTTCCCTCAGCTTTCTCCTTTGTAAGATGGGGATGACGATAGTACTAGTACTCACCTCATAGGGTGGCTGTGAGGGTTGAATGGGTCTATACACTTAAAGCCCAGAGAACAGTGCCTGGCATAAGTAAACCCTCAGTACATTATTATTTCTTATGAAACACTCCAAATGGTAAACTTAGAGTTTTATCTAAATAAAAATGTACATCTCCAGGTGCACTCAAGACCATATGTTCTTTGTTACGCATCACAGTAGAGGCTCTGATGCTTTTAAATGCCTTAAGCAACTTGATTACTGTTCAGAACACCTGAAATAGTACAGCACATGCCTCAATCTGATCATTATTTTTATTTGGAAGATGAGGAAACGGAGGTTTCAGAGGGCGCGTGGCTAGTTAGTGGCCTAGCTCGCAGCTTGCGTCTCCAGCACACCTCCTGCCTAGTGAAGTTGCCTTTCAAAGAGCTATTTGGTCTGGAATTAATTCTTGTTTTCTGCTCAGACATTTTCTTTTGCTCGAAATGCTACCTTTGCTGTCTGATGCCCCCAGCAATACAGGATAAGACTGAACGCAAACTAGCATTCTTCTGTGGCGGTTGATGTCGTTTTGAAACTCCCACTTTCCAGATCCACTTGAAGACAAGCCTTGTGCTTCTATGTACTTGCTGTTAGAAGAAACTGGCAAGTTGGCTACTGACCATGGTCAACTGTCTTAAGAAACAGAGTCTCTTAACAGAGGGACAGGCAGTGTTTTGTAAACCTAAACAAAAGGCTAAGATGAATGTTTTCCAGTGGGTGTTGCATTAGTGCTGTCTCCCAGATTTGGCCTCTAAGCCAGTCTTTCAAATATAACCATAGCTGATGGATTATTTTCATTCAGAAGTTTGACCTGGCATTAGCGGATCTCCACGTCTGTGGCAGCTGTCACTGAGCTTCTGAAAACATAGGGTCACACCATGCTCTTTATCTTTGGGTGAACTCCAACGGATGCGTCACTGTGATTTCAGTGATAAACAATTCAAAGGTCTAGAGTTTATAAACAGGTGGATGGAAAGGAATAGGTAGAATCCATTTTTAAAGGGGACAGGCTTAAAGAATTTTAGATGGGGAAATGTTGCATAGAAGACAAGATGATCTATTAGATACTCTGTTGTCTTTGCGTTCAAGGTGGAGCTAGATAGCTCTAAATTACCATGGCGTCTAATTCAATGGGCTGGGAGTTAACAGGTGAGGTCCGTGGTGCAGTGAGCTGGTGTTTTACTGAAATGCCAAGGTCAGTTCTTATCCCAGGATTTCCCTGGAAAAGAGAATTTAGGAAGGTATCCATTTTCTATAAATATCAAAATTGGCAAGTAGGCTGCTGACGGTGGAAAACTATCTTGAGTGCAGACCCCTTTATATTTAACCCCTATACGTATAACTGAAGTACAGTCAAGGGACCACATCCTACTTTCTGTTCATTATTGGCACAGATCCTAAATAAATGTGATGTTTGAAAATGCGTTTACGATATGTGTCAGGCATGTGAGTATATAGAATCCTTGTGTTATTCTGCTCATCTGTATCACGTGTCCACAAATGTTTCATCCTCAAATTTGTGGATTCGCCTTGCATGCTTCATTCTGGCAAAGCTGAATGTCTCATTCAGAGCCAGCTGGATACGTTCTTAGGATGTGAGACCAATAAGCAAAATTCCCGAGACAGGTACCCTGCAGCTCGCTTCCTCCTACCCAAAAAAGCTGGGAGTACACATCCCTCCGGAGAACCATACTCAGTATCTGAAATTGTTTGAACCTATTTATGCATACCGTTTTTTCAAGCTTTACAGCTTGTCTTTCACCAGCCCTATTTCTAGTAAATAACCTTTTGGGGTTATTTGGAATGTATTTTAAGAACTATAAAAGTCTTCATACCTTGACTCAGCCCCCATTCCCCATCATGATAATTTTTCCAAGGAAATTAAATACCAAGCTGTGTTTATAAATTTCTCATCACCATGTGCTTTGCAGAAGTGAACAATCGGGAACAATCGTATAGCCAACAAAAGGGAAATGGTTGACTAAATGATAGCACATCACCTTATCTAAAATTATAGTTACAGAAACCATGTAGCAGCATTTTATGATGGAGTTTAGTGAAAAGAGCAGTTTAAAATTGTATCTCCATCGTTACGGCAACTGAGTACAAATTACGTCACCAGGACCAGAGGCTGGAGAGTAATGTGAAGTTTTAGGTGACTTTTCTTTCTGTTTGATTTCTGTTTTGATGGTGGGCAGGGGTGGAAGTTGGGGTGATGGATGAGACTACAGAGCTGGGCAGAGGCCATCAGTCATAGAAAGAGGGGTGCGCTGTTGTGCACTGTCGAGCTTGAACGTCATCCAGAGAGGGACATGATCAGATTTGTGCCTTGCAAAGATTGGCTGCTGCATGAGGAAGGAATTGGAGCAGGGCGAGAGTGACAGAAGACCAACCATTTGGCAGGCCTGACCTGGGCGGCGCTTTCCATCATGAGAAATATGGAGAGATTCGTGGCAGGGGCATCCGTTATGCCAGCACCTGCCCTAAAATACCCCCGTTGCACTTTAAGATTCTTGGAATATGTTTCGAATGTAAATTTCATTCTACATAGGTATCCATCTGTATGCAGATCTTTAAAATGTATGCATATGCGAAACCCATATGCTTCAAGAGTATTTGGAAGATCCTAGCTGAAAATACTGACAGAATTTTAAAAATAAAATAAATACGATTGCACATTCTTACTGAATGTTTTATTGGAATTGTCATGCAATTTCTTTGAAGCCTGGCCTTCTTAGGATGATCATATTGTAATGGAATTGTTTTGCTGTTGCATCTCCCACAGTGGATGTTGGTTGAGTTTTCACTGCATATATGTACAGTTACATTTCTAAGTATTGTCCTGCCTGGTTCCAGAAAGAATTTAACGCACCAACACTGGGGTTACAAATCCTGCATTTCAGAATGTGCTTGGTCCCTGACTCTCCTCTCTCATTTTCTCTCCCTCCATCTCCTCTCCCTTTACCCTTAGCCAGCATGTCTCCGGGCTCTATCCAATCCCTTCTCCCTTCTAACTCCTTCCTTACCACCGCTCTACCTGCCTAGTTCAAGCCTCACCTCCTGGTCTCCTTACAGATACTATCACTTTAGTTTCCTAATCAATGATATAAAAAATTGGATGAGATCTCCGTGGAGGCAGTTTGTAGTATATAAAGGGATATGCAAATGTGAGTAGTTGTTATTCTTTCCAGTTTTGAAATTCAGGGACTCTGTGACAACTAAAGTATTTCATTTGAAAAGAGAAAATCACATGCTGTTTTTCTTCCATTTTGTTCCTCTAGCAGTAAGTCAGTGCATGATTTTGTGTGGGAGATGTAGGTTGTTTGAATTAGTGAGAGGCATGCTTTTTATGACTTTTTAAAAAAGTTTTGTATATATCCTTTTAACGTGGTAAGAAACTCAATGGAGTAAAAATTGGATGATTCAAGAAAGGCAGCCTGAGACTAAGTAAATAAAAGGGGTGTATATCTATAAAATTAAACATAATTAACCACTTTATTTGCATAACTATGTCCCCTAACTACCACCTTGGTAGAATAAACTCCTCCATGCCTGAGAGCTTAATTTCCTACCAAGAATGACTTGGGGACACTGGGGGAGAAAACCAATAGCTTCTATACCATGTACGTTGCCAGAGAGGGACGGTTTAAGAGCCACACAAGTGGAGCAGAAGCTTAGCAGAGATTAAGCAGACACGTTCTTGGCCGCATTCCCATTCTCACAGAGGCCGAATGCCAGCGGCTGATTTTTCAGCATACAAACTGATGGCTTATTTCACCCCGGCCCTAACCCTGCCTTTTCCCTTTCCAGCTCACGGCCCACATCCTGTTACTCTAATATCTAGCAGGGTTTCTTCCTAGATGGAACTGAAATCAACCATCACTGTGCTTGTGTGTTACCTGATGGTCAGCCAGGCCTTGAATGTGGAAGCCCTCCCAGCCAGGGTTCCTTCTCCCCAGGGTCCACCTCGCCTCTGCTTACATCAGCAAAGAAACATTTCCCTGAGGGGTGGTGCTGACATTTCAAGGGTTTAACCTTTTGCAGTGGTTTAACCTTTTGTGGGAGTCATGAACCCCTTTGAGAGTCTGCTGAAAACTTTGAGTGTACTCTCCGGGAAAATAAGCTTCCACTCAAAAATTTGCTAGTAAATTTAGATGGTTTGGGACCCATCTGGTCTCCCATCTGGGAGACTCACAGAGCCCATATGAAGGACCCCGGATTTCTAGAATGCCTTTAAAGTTGTGCTTTCAAATCCAGACATAACTTGATTCTGCACAAGACAGTCCGCAGCATGAGAGTTTTTAATTTTAATAAAATTAAAATTTTATTTTAAAAATTTTAATAAAAGTAGCATTTAATTAAAAATGCTACTTACCACTGACTGTTTAAAATTCAACTTTGAAGAGATCACTTGGAGAGAAAAATAATGTCTGATCCTACTAATACTAAGGTTTTGTGTTTCAGGTCTGACTACAGCCACATGTCCTCCACCAGCAGTAAGTATGGCTTAAATGTTCTTCAGTTTTGTCTTCAGAGTCCCCCTGGGGGTCAGTCCCATCTCTGTATGTAGAGAAGGCATCCATGTAACCCTTGCTTTAATAGAAAGAATCTCCGAAGGTATCCTGGCCAAAGGATGTGATACAGGCTTCTCTGGGGAGTGGAGAAAAGTGGAGGCTTTTCCTGGAGAATGTGATTGTACCTTGATTTGAGGGCTAGACGTGCCACTACTTTCCCTGTGAAAATTCAGCCTGGAGGAACTAGCCCAGGCTTTATTAACCCGCATGCTTGGAAAATACCTTCTCTGACAAAGCTGAGGTAACTCATTCATTCAACAAACATGTATCAAATACCTGCTGTCCTTGGGCTCACAGCTCAGAGTACATTCATTGGATCATGAGGTGGCCCCAGTTCCTCTGTTGGGCAGATTTCCTCCTGTGTATTTCTGTACCTGCAGGCAGATACCACAGATGATGATTTTATATGGTAAAAAAAAAAAAAAAAAAATGTTTATAAACATACTCTGAGCATAGAAAAAGGTGCTTGTATTGAATATTAAATTACGAGTAAATCTATTTATGGGAAATTAGGCGTTATATCTAGGAACAATTTACAGTGATGAAGGTCACTACAGAGCCATTCAGACTGATTAAACACTTATTTTAAAATAACAAAAAATTTTTCTTACAATAAACGCCCTGATGTTTTGAGTCGGTAAACACTGAATTGTTTTGGCTTGTCTCACTATCCTGATAAGCTCTCAATTCTAAATAGTTCCCAAATGGAAAGACACTTAATTGGATTATTCTGTTTATTAATGTTATGGCTTAGTTTTTCCTTTGCAATGAGAGACTGTGTGGAAAGCTGTATATCTGGGATGGTTATTTAGTGTCAAATTATATTTAGTTAGTATAACTGCAGCGAGCAATTTCTGATCATTTCAGCCAACTGGAGACCCAGCATTGCCCCTTAGTTATTAAGAACCGTTAGTAATAAATTAGAGAATAATGCTCCAGTGATCTGCATTTCCTCCCTGAAGCTTCTGCGTTCCTAAAATCAGAGAAAGCGCTCGCTCGCGCTCTCTCTCTCTCTCTCTCTCTCTCTCTCTCTCTCTCTCTCTCTCTC